GGTCAAAGGAGTAGCAGAGATGACAGTTGCTCTTTAAAAATTATGATTTAAATCGAGTTGATTTAAATCAAGCCTTTTTACTAGTGATTTAAATCATGATTTAAATTGTGATTTAAATCAACTCGATTTAAATCAAATCCACCCTGTTCCAATGTTTCTTCTTTAAGGCGGAAACTACAAATGTTGATTGTCTATGGAGATTCTCAGTCATCCAGGTCATGATTATCCCAAAGGTGCTTTTTCAAGAGGCAACTGGACTTTCTGGTTTTTCTATGAAGATGTTTCACTTCTCATCCAAGAAGCTTCTTCAGCTCTGACTGGATGGTGAGGAATGGAAGAATTTATACTCCTTTCAGACAGCTGATCATTTGCACTTGTCTTCTTAGAAAAAACAGAAAGTCCAGTTGCCTCTTGAAAAAGCACCGTTGGTACAAATGTTGATTGTACCAAGGATTCTTTTGGCCAGTCTTTCTCCTTTCATCTTGCATCATGGTGTTCCTTCCCCATCCAAAGGTTCAGTGGTATTTAGTTTAGTTTAATTTATTTGATTTGTATACCGCCCTACTCCCGAAGGACTCAGGGGTGTGACAGCCAAACAATAAAATACATAGATACAAAAAATTTAAAAACCAGATAAAATCAAATTAAATCATTTTGGCCCAGACAGATTAAAACACCCCAATAATTTAAAAACAGATTAAAATTTACATATTTAAAAAAGGAAGAGATTAGGCCAAGCCCGCCTGATGGAATAAAAAGGTCTTCACAGCGCGGCGGAAGGTGCGCGGATCCGGGATCCTCCGGGATCCTCCGTATCTCTGGGGGGAGCTCATTCCAGACGGTAGGTGCCCCCACAGAGAAGGCTCTCCCCCTAGGGGTCGCCAGCCGACACTGTTTGGCTGACGGCACCCAGAGGAGTCCTTCTCTATGAGAGCGTACTGGCCGGTGGGAGGCTATTGGTGGTAGTAGGCGGTCCCGTAGATAACCAGGTCCTAAGCCATGGAGCGCTTTAAAGGTGGTAACCAAAACCTTGAAGCGCACCCGGAAGACCACCGGGAGCCAGTGCAGCTCGCGCAGGAGAGGTGTTACATGGGAGGGCCATGTCGCTCCCATTACCACCCGCGCGGCCACACTCCGCATTTATTGTGGTTCCTGTTGATTGGCACTTGGGGAAGACATTACTCAGGCATTCACCATGACCCTTGTCTCTGCACTTATCTTGGGTTTACTTTATATATGTTGGACTCCATTCCCCCCTATCCCATTTCTCCCCAATTCTTCTCTGATTTAACAAGCATTTGCAAACATTCTATACAATCCCCACTGTTTTTTTGAAGTTCCACATTTATATGGATGCAATATTGGTCCCTGTCCTGTGAGTTTTCTACCTTTATAAATGAGAACCAAAGAAATATCAACTTCCATCATATAAAAATTATATAAGTTAGTTAGCCTAGTTCTTTTCCTAAACAACTATTTTACTAAGTGAAGAAATTGTTTAGCTGGACAAAAATTCCAAAATACGATTTCTAACTTTAAATCTGAAGCAAAAGAAACCAATATATATAGAAATGAGTTGGGTGGATCATTTTCTTGGTTGCATATTTCCTTGGTTTTTTTCTTGCTGGAAGGATTGAGGACAGCTTAAATCATTGTAAATAAAATAATGTTCCACCAGTGACCATTTATGATTGCCATGGCTTTCAAATATTCTTAGTATTTTCAGTTTTCATTTGTAATAAACACTCTTCTGTTCTAAATGCCAAAGCTCTCTTTTACTAAAGTGGGCTTCGTATCCATTATAAACACATTTGGATTTGATTGCCAGACCTGTTTTTCAAGCACTCCACATGAAACGTCTTTATTTTCTCTCATTTAAAAAGTGTTCTCCAGTTCAGTTCCTTGAGCCATATTCTGTCTCTCAGAAAAATTCTCTAATCCTTAGTAGGCACAGAAGTGAGCAGTAAGACAGAATTTATGTATTAAGTTCGTGTTTTTGTTGTTGTTTCTAAAATGCTCTAAATCCAGCACGTACCCTCTGGAATCAGCTGCCCCCAGAGATAAGGAGAATTCAAGACCTCGGTGCCTTCTGCCGTGCCCTTAAAACCTTCTTTTTCCAGCAAGCCGGGCTGGCCTAACACTTTTTAAAATGTTTTTAATTGTTTGTTATTGTTTTTAATCATGGGGCCAAATTTATATATATCTTTTTAATTGTATTTTAATGTTTGCAGTTTATGTTTTTATTTGGCTGTTCACCGCCCTGAGTCCTCAGGGAGAAGGGCGGTATACAAATTTAAAAATAAATAAATAAATAAATAAATAAATAAATAAATAAATAAATAAATAGTTACAACTTAGAGTTTGACAGATTTTACAAATTTCAGACAGGTTGGTGTGGTTGAACAGATCCCACTCACAACAACAAAAACTTCTTCTAAATCCTTTGGCTACATCTGAGAATAAGAATTGATTAAACTGCTGCCCTAATGCTTTCTCGTTCAAAAGAGATGGAGTTTGTTTTGCAGTGAAATGCAAATCCTAGCACATGCATATTCCCCAGTTGCTGGTTAATATATATAGCCATGTTGTTATAAACAAATGTATGCAGTGTGGATTTTTCCCCTCAGATCATAGGGAGATGCGACAGCAGTTAGATAACATGCTATAAACCTCTAATATTTTAAACTGCTTAAATGATTTGGAAGAGAAGTAGTCTCACGTAGTTTTTCCAAGAGAAATAAACTATTTAGAGCAGCGTTTCCTTCTCATCGCCAAAGGGGTTCAGTTTTCTACATGTTTGATTAGTGGGGGACGGGCTTAGCCAGATACTAATGAATGTGTCTGCAATTCCACTTTAACTGAGGACACACACTATACATATGCATCAGTATAGATAGTCCTTGACTTACTGCCATTCTTTTACTGACCTCTTGAAGTTACAATGGCACTGAAAAAAGTTGAGTTATTACCATTTTCGCCTGTATGACTGCTATAAGCTATCCATGGTTACGTGATCAAAATGTGGATGCTTGGCAACTGACACGTGTTTAGGACAATTGCACTGTCCTAAATGTGATCATTTTTGCCGATCTTCTGATAAGTCAATGGGGAAACCAGATTCATTTAGCAACCACATTACTAACTTAATTGCAGTGATTTACTTAAGTACTGTGGAAAGAAAGGTTGTAAAATTGGGCAACACTGTTACTTAGCAATGGAAATTTTGGGCTCAATTATAATCATAAATCAAGGGCTACCTGTATCTACTTAAGATTCTCACTCATGGCCATATTAATATCAGTTCGTCCAGTTGATAACAGATTAACAGAGTTGGAAGGGACCTTGGAGGTCTTCTAGTCCAACCCCCTGCTCAAGTAGGAGACTTTATACCATTCTAGACAAGTGACTGTCCAGTCTCTTCTTAAAAGCCTCCAGTGATGGAGCACCCACAACCTCTGAAGGCAACTTCTGTTCCATTGGTTAACTGTTCTCAATGTCAGAAAATTTCTCCTTAGTTCTAGGTTGCTTCTCTCCTTGATTAGTTTCCATCATTTCTTGACTTACCTTCTGGTCTATGTAAAATAGGTTGACCTCCCTCTTCTTTGTGGCAGCCCCTCAAATATTGGAACACTACTATCATGCTTCCCCTGGTCAACAGTGATGCTGTTCTATTTTGTGGTACTCTCTTTGCCAGGTCCTGTTCTGCTTCAGTGATAAGACCAAGAATTGGTACTGTCCTGACGCTTTTAATGTAAGGCAACCCAAGGTCTAAGATTGGTGGATTTCCCCAATGTCATCATTCCTTCACCCACTGTGACCCATCGGTGGGAAAAACACCACCAACTGCTGTGATGGGCTGTCCCGGGCTGGTGTCCAGCATTGTATCAGACTTCTCTTGGAGCAATTCAATGCCAGGATAAATATCTCAAAGCTCTGATTAGTAAGTTTTTTTAAAAAAAAAATGTTTAAAATTTCTACATATGAATATTAGGAAATGTGGTGCATTCAAATAAGAATTACATATAGGCAAAATATAGCAGTAAGGTTCACTTCTTTTTCTCAGACTGTTTTTTTTTAATGTTCAGGGGGAGAACTTGTGTAAAGTTCTTGTGTAAAGGAGAGGCAGACTGCCTCAGCTGCTTGTTCTAGAAATGGTTACTTGACTTCTTAACAGATGGAGAACCAGTTCTCATCAATCAAAACTTTTTTTTTTCCAGTTGACCAAGTGACAGATTGTTGGCATTGCTCTGGTGATCCCATCTCTTGAGTTATTTTTGATAATGGGCCTTTCACTAAAACTTGAGTCTAAAAAACAGCCCATCTTCCAGATGGGTGAGACAGACAAAAGTGTGGGATTGAATGGGAAGAAACTCACACGGATGTGATTTAACAGTTTGTCAAACCCCAATTTAGAGAGTGATTTGAAGTTTCCAGTAAATCAGAAGAGGCTCCAGGTAATTGTAGATTCACTGGAAAAACAATTATTCTTCTTTTCCACCCCATCTGGGCTGGCAAGAGAAACAGGTGAGGGTTCCTTTTCTCCTATATGAAATTAGAAGGTGGCTGGCTCAAGAACCATTCCCTCCAGTTTTATTTCCTCCTACTTCTCTTGATATTTCTTCCTGGCTTGAAAGATATCAGCCCTACTAACTTTCAACAGAGAAGTGACAGAAGTTCCTGAGTTGGGGATACAAACTTGGGTGACAAGTCTCTAACTCTCAGTTCTCCCATCTTGGCTACAGATCATCTCCTTGCATTTGGGGAACTGATAGCTAAAGAACCCTTCCTCCTGTCCAACCCCCTCTCTCTAAGCCAGGGGTGTCAAATTTGCGTTGTCATAGTGTTGTCAAGTGACTTTTCCCCCCTCTGCTAAACTGGGCGTGGGCATGGCCAGCACATCTGGCCCGCGGACCATGAGTTTGACAGCCCTGCTCTAAGCCATGGATCTTTGATATGGGGAAGTACCAGATTTAAAAGAAACACACTCCTACTTCCAAAAAAACAGAATAGCCATAGATATCAGAGTTGAAGGAGCTGAAGCTAAGGAGCATGCTTACAGATGAACAATAGAAGTTGGGCCTCAGACTGTGTCATTACCAGCATCCTTTTAGAGGCCTTTTAGATTGCTATTCATAGTTGTTCAAAGCTTAGCCACAGTTGTGCTGAAGATGAAGGATGTGAAGTGAGTCAACTTGGATCTTATCTTGCTGACAGCATCGCAGGATTTGGCAACATCCAGAGAGGTAGAGTCCATTTGAACTGAAAATAGCATTTATATATAGAAGAAGGTTTCAGAATGACTTGGAATTACTGTCAGATAATTGGAAATAAAACAGATTCTAATATCCATATAAAACAGCAGTACGCTTAAATATGGGCAATAGAGTTTATGATATAGTCAGGCAGCATATGGATTTATTTTTTTATCTGCTTTTAGATCATAAGGTTATGAATTGGACATTGATGGGAGCAAGTATGAAATGTGATTTGTAATATTGTGATGCCATCATCCTTACATTACAGTATTGCAATTTCACAATTTGTATTTTTCCATCTTGATGAAAGGATGGTTTGTTACATATGCCCTGAAGACATGATCTAGCAAAAGACAGGAGGGGGGGGGGGGGGCTCATAGTTCCTGCGTAAACCAGGCATGTAATGTCCTCCATGGCTTAATAATAATAATAAATTCATATGCCACCCAATTCCGAGTGACTTCTTTCAGAGTATTTAAATGTTGTAAACATGATCAATACATAATTCCTGTAACATGTATTTAGTAAACCAAGTTTCATAAAAAAGAATGAATGCATTCCAGTAATCAAGAACAATGGCATTACATTTTGTAACTAAATTCCAGATCCCTTTGTGCATCAGCAGTATTCCCTGAAGTCCTGCTTAGTTATGAAAGTATAGTAGACACTAAAAGGACTCCACAACGTTCAATTCAGAAACTTGCACAATTATAATAATTAAAAAGCTGCCCATTGATTGTTTTAGTTTTGTTGGCTGGCAGTTCAGCAAATGCTTTTTATCTTGCAGTTTAAGGCTAATAAAGCAATATTTAGTGAAGAGAAAAATAATAATTACTGTAATAACGAGGCAACCCTCATTATCAGACTTATTCAGGAAATGAATGGCTGAAACAGGAATGAAGCACGGTGAGCAGAAGATAAAGAAAAAACCCCCAAGAAACAGAAAAAGAAAAAGGCAAAAATGAGTACAAAGTATAAGGCTACTTGTTCATTTTTGCAGTGAAATAACATCTATTTTTTTAAAAAAAGCACCCTAGGCAAAATTAACATGTCTGTGATAAAGAATTGTCTGTGTACGGTAAGAAGAACTATATAGGAAGAATGTTGTGGGAAGTAGACTTTAACATATTTGGTTCTACAATTGCCTGCGCTAAGATGCACTAAGAACCCAAACCTCCTTTGTGATGTCACTACACAGACTCTGTCCTTAACTACAATGTCACAATGCCACTATGAAAAAGGGAATTTTTTTTTTTTTGATGCCACATAATATTGACGTCATCACATTTAGGCTGCGTGTGTTTATTATTTATTTTTCAAAGGCAAAGTTATATGGTGTTTCTCCTCAAGTAGCAGCTTATCAAAAATAAAACCACACGTAAAAATGTTATGTTACAAATGGAGGGGTGGAAAAAAAGAATAGAAAATCGTTCTGTTGTGTTTGGTTGTGGACATAATGACAGGCATGGTGGAAAAGCCGTGTGAGATCTGTCCCTCCCCTCTTCAACAGGGCTAGTGAATTCTATATGCTCATTGAAAACCTCAGTCATCACAGTTCACTGATACAATTATTTGTTCTGGGTTTACAGTTAAGATGTTGTGATCCTAGTTCTGATTACTTTGAACTAAATGGCAGCAAAGAGTTTGTTTGGTTTTTTTTAAAAAAGCTTATAACTCTGCTGCTACCTAGTGGTTGAAAGGATGACCAGTTGAGCCATAGTTTCAAGGAATAAAAAAAGTTCAGCTAGTCAACCATATAATGAGAACAAAGAGAAAACAGCAACTAGAATTCTTTTTACAATTGGAAGAGGTTTTTTCATCTGGATTATGTTGAGCAGGGTCTGAACTTCAATCCAGGGACACATCAATCCCAGTTCTTAGTATCTTGTATGCTAAAGCTGTACAGGTAATCCTCGACTTACAACAGTTCATTTAGTGACCGTTCAAAGTTACAACGGCACTGAAAAAAGTGACTTATGACCGATTTTCAAAGTAATTAACTTTTGTAGCATCCCATGATCATGTGATCAAAATTCAGATGCTTGGCAACTGACTCATATTAATGATTGTCACAGTGTCCTGGGGGGTCATGTAATCCAGTGTGAAATCCAAATTTTTCTTACTACCAGTTCCGTGGGTGTGGCTTGGTGGGTGTGGTGTGACTTGGTGGGCATGGTAGGGGATGGATACTGCAAAATTTCCATTCCCACCCTACTCCAGGGGAAGGATACTGCAAAATCCCCATTCCCTCCCCACTCCTGGGGGAAGGATATTGGAAAATCTCCATTCCCAACCCACTCTGGGGCCAGCCAGAGGTGGTATTTGCTGCTTCTCCCAACTACTCAAAATTTCCACTACCAGTTCTCCAGAACCTGTCAGAACCTGCTGGATTTCACCCCTGATGTGATCCCCTTTTGTGACTTTCTGACACAAATGGGGAAGCCAGATTCACTTAACAACTGGCTTACTAACCTAACAACTTCAGTGATTTGCTTAACAACTGTGGCAAGAAAGGTCGTAAAATAGGGCAAAACTCACTTTAAAAACTCACTTAACAAATGTTTCACTTAACAACAGAAATGTTGGCCTGAATTGTGGTCATAAGTTGAGGACTACTGTGCAGAGCAGAACAGCACACAGCTGTTCTAGGGACAGGATAAGGGTGCAGCTTGGAAGCAGTACGATTGAAGGATGAAAGGGAAGCACAGTGACGCATGTGTTGATGTACTTAAATTCAGGTTTTGTGGTGAAGGGAGTAGGGAGTTAAAATTTTAAAACCTGCTTCTCTGTGTCCTCAGTTGGCACAAAAGACATAGAAAGTGCAAAAGGGTAGGAATGATTGTTGGATACAGTGATCAAAGTCAAGATGGAAGTAGGTGATATTGGGATTTCTGGACATTTTTTTTTTAAGTGTTCTGTGTGTTCACTCTAAACAAAAGTTTTCATCGGTTTAAACTGTTTTCCATTGGATAAAAAAAGATAAAACGTTTATTTGTTTCTTAGTAATTTGCAATCCAGATTCATTTATATGATTTGGAATTCAAAATGTGTGGTTGTACAGGCTTTAAGATACTGATTGACTATCCTTATGTAGGAAATTTTGCCTGATACCTTACAATTTGTAATAATACAACATTTATTTATTTATTTATTTATTCATTCATTCATTCATTCATTCATTCATTCATATTTCTATGCCGCCCACTCTCCGAGGACTCTGGGCAGCTTACACCAAAGACAGTATACTAAATAGCATATTGCCCCAACAATCTGTGTCCTCATTTTACCCACCGCGGAAGGATGGAAGGCTGAGTCAACCTTGAGCCGGTGAGATTTGATCCTCTGATCTGCTGAACTAGCAGTCAGCTGAAGAGGCTGCAGTACTGCACCCTAACCACTGTGCCACAACATTATAGCTCATCTCAGTAAATATCAGGAGGGAACAAGCTGGCCTCCTCCAAATGTTGCTTAAGTAACATTCAGCAGCTTTGGGCAGACAGGGTGAGTTGCAGAAACACATAAAAGGCCACAAATTTGCTATCCCTGATGAACAGAATTACAGCTTTTAAGGGTTAAAAAAAAGGCCTATAGCATGAATTGTTTGTGAAATATTTTTGGGAAGGATCAAAGCTGATGTTTTATAGTTGTAATAAAATTGTAAGAATTGATTTTTTAAAAAATCATATTTCCCTTTCGTTATCCCGAGAAGAAACAATTCTGGTATGTATTCTATTTGAAAGCCAGTTAATTCCTGTAACCAAGTTTGTATTTTTTTTCCAAATTTTTATTTATTTATTTTTTGATAAAAAAAACAATGTACATCATTCTACATATAATAACAGTGGCAAGACTAGCTTTTGTGCAGTGTTGGAGAAATACAAATATACCCTCTGAAGACTTAATAATTAAAAAAATTTCCGACTGTGCTGAAATGGACAAATTGACACTTGAACTAAAAGGATTGACAGATTTGGAATACTATGTAGTATGGGAGAATTGGTACAAATGGATTGAAAATAGAAAAGGAAAAAAAAATTAGATAAACTAGGATTGGATTTAGTTAGAATGTATAGAATATAAGTAAATTATAGTAATATGTCATGTAAATGGTCACAGTTATGTACAAGAATTCTTTCTTTTTGTATTTTAATTATTGAAAATTAATAAAATATTTTTTAAAAATATAAGAATTGAATGTGTAGATATAAGTTTGGAATAGCATGGAGAAAGAGGGTTTCTAAGAATTTTTACATTTAGTTAAGTAACAGGTGTAATATACTTGCAAAATAAAATGTAATGCCATATCAAGCAAAAATTTACCCAAAAAGTTTATCTTTTTGACGATCTTTATGTTTAGAATGTGATTCTTGCAACCCTAAAGAGCAGATCTCCTGAGCATTAAATGTAGGGGCAGATGAAATATTACGCTATCAATAGAAGGGTAAGCTAATTGTGGTTGGGACACACATTCCTTGGAAACCCCTGGTATCTTGGATAAAGATCTGACAGTATAGATCCACAAGTACCATATTTCTGGATGACAGGGGATTAAAAAAAAAAACACCTCTACCCTGTGGTAAAATAGGTGGCTGGCATGTGTATGTATGTATATATGTACCGTGTTTCCCGAAAAATAAGACCCGGTCTTACTTTTCTTTTTGTTCCAAAAGACAGAATCCTGGGCGCAAGTGGCAGGGTGAGAACCCCCCCCCTTTGCCAGAACAAGCAGCAATCCCCTGCTACTTTCCTGGGGCTGCTCACCGGTTCTCACTGTGCTGCTTGCACCTGGGATTCTGGAGGAGAACTGCCCCCCATCGCCAGCCACCAAGAAAAAGCAGCGATTCCCTTGCTACTTTCCTGGGGCTGCAGGGCTGTGCAGAGGTTCTCACCCTGGTGCCAGACTGACGTTCCTCTGGTGCGGACTCCGTTCTCCTCCAGAATCCTGGCTGCAAGCGGCAGGGTGAGAACCACTGCGCAGCCCCACAGCCCCAGGAAAGTAGCAAGGGCAGTGCTGCTTGTTCTCGGTGGCGGGCGAGGTGGGGGTGGCAGTTCTCCTCCAGAATCCCATGCACAAGTGGCAGGGTGAGAACCGCTGCGCAGCCCCAGGAAAGTAGCAGGGGAATTGCTACTTGTTCTTGGTGGCTGGTGAGGGGTGGTGGTGGTTCTCACCCTGCCGCTTGTGGCCAGGATTCTGGAGGAGAACTGCTGCCCTCACCTCGCCCGCCACCGAGAACAAGCACTGCTGCTGCTGCTGCTCTTCTGGGCTGCCCGAGCCAGCCAGGTGCTCCGGACCACGGATGCGCGTCGCCATGGGCTGGAGGGCTGGGACCGTGCAAGAAGCCCGTTTGGGCGGGGAGGGATGGCAGCCCTGGTCCACCCATCCTGGCTGACAGTTCTCTCCCCTAGGAAGCAACTGCCAGGATCCCGTCTTTGTGTCTTTGGGCACACAAACTGTTCTTCGCATGCTCATGCGCAGCAGAAACCAGAAGACCAGGTGGCCAGCGTGCATGCGCATGCCGGAAACTGGAAGAGCAACGGGCGATGGCTCCGCATGCCCAGAGATGGCTCTGTGTGCCACTTTTGGCACGCGTGCCATAGGTTCGCCATCATGCATCTAGCACACGATGGTACTCATTTCAATGTTGTCTTCATTAGCGTTACTTTGTCTGCTAGAGTGGCAAGGAATGAAGACCTCCTTTATAACATGCACTGTTTGTTTGCAGTTTGCTTGGGCAGGAGCAATAAAATCTGACACCTCATACTTTCTTTTGCTCTTTCATCCAAACGAGTAATGTTGCATATTTTAATGGTATGCCGGCAGGATTTAGGATCCTATTTTCCTTGCATTATCAAGAACATTGAACCTGTATCCTTGCAATATTCTCTCCTTCCTCACATTTGCAGTTCAGCTTACTCCCTCCCCCCCTTTTTTTTGGCATGTATGTGTATATTTCAGAACCAAGTACTTTCATGTGTCATCGTTTGAGCTTCTTTCTCTTTTGGTGTTACATCTGTGCTTTTAACTGCC